GAGAGAGAGAGAGAGAGAGAGAGAGAGAGAGAGAGAGAGAGAGAGAGTGCACTGTCGTGTGCACCGTGCGTGTCTGTGGCACATGGCCGCAAATACGTGTGTACTTGGCGTGATTAACGGCGGCGCTTTACGCCGTCGTGATTAACGCCGCTTTGCGTTTCTGAGGCCGCCGCCGCACGCAGGGAAGGGGGGGGGAATAAAACGCGAATTTGCTCCGTCGTCTTACGTAACAGGTCAGAGATATCCAGCGCGCGCGAGATATCCAATGCTTTTTTAATCTTTCACGGTTAAAATCGTTCCCCCCTATAGATATCTCGAGAAAAAGTACAGCGTCGAAAGTGGATCGCGATGAGAATATTAATGGGGAGAATAATTCTTTTAAAAGCGTTAGCATTTTATTTTATCTCTTTGAATAAGAAAATTTTTTAAAGTAGACCTCGCGTCACGATTTAAGGGGTTAGCCCACCCCTGAGGCCTTAAAATGATACCTAAGTTTGGGATTTTTTTGTGGATAAATAGATAACTTTATTTAAAAGCTGTTTAGAGGACATTGTTGTACATATATAAGAAACTAAAAAAATATTTTTTTTTCGTAACGCGATAGCATGCATGTATACGCATATGTGTCTCTATTGCTAATATTGTGATGTCTGTACATGAAAAAAACGATTTTGTTGAAAGGTCTAAACATTTTGCTGAAAACAGATCCGAAAATAATTTTTTGTTGAATCATCAAAATAGTTTGTTGAAATGTTAAAACTGATAAAAATTACTATAAAACGTTTTTAAATTCTAGCAATCATTTTGACTTTCGCACAAAATTATTTTGATTATTGAACAAAAATTAGTTTCAGATCTGAATTCGGCAAAATTGTTCTCTCCGTGTATCACACAAAATGACATATTTTTGAAAATTTTGACTCTTGGAAGTACAGCCGACTTTTAATACTCATTACTTTCTTAATATGTGACGACACGACTTTCGAGACATTAATTTTTACCTTCACGTCAGAATTGTTATTATAAATTGAAATACGATGGAAATATGGTCTACGTAATACTAATTTTATGATTACTACGTTAATATATGTATCACCTGAAGATGGCCAGAAGGATGGCCGAAACGTATGGAAGTATACTTGTATGCATATGGGACAAACTTGTGTTAATTATTCAAATTTATAATTCCGTGCGATAATTATCGCGGCGATTCCCATTAGCCTATTACATTTGAATTGTTGATAAAAATATGTCTTTGATGTCTTTTTCCTCGCTCCTTCCTCATCACCTCCTTGAAGAAATCTATTTCTGTCTGCAATATCGCAAATATATTAATATACCACGTGGAAATACCTACTCATCGGCCTTGAAATATCGTGGCGCGATTTAACAACGTCTGCTCCGAGCTGCGACAAAGCAGTGGAAAACAAAGCTGCGAGAGACGTCGTAATTACTTTTAAACGAAAGAACAATATTTTGTGCGTTGGTGCGAGAGCGGTTTTCAAACTAGTTGAAAAGTAGCTGGCTCCAGCAGCAGCAGCAGCAGCAACAGCAGCGAGACGCGACGGCCTTAATCAAAGGCACGGGCATAACTCGGAATATTATATTTCGATCAGAAGGCGCTATGACGACTACAGGATAACACACACACGTATACACGTACAAAAATCCGATATTGTTATTTCTAGCGACGCCACCACCGTGTCACCGTGTTGCCGTTGCTCCGCATCGAGCGCAGCTGGGATTACAAGAGGATCGCGCACACCGTTGTCACGTATAGCTGTTGCTGTGTGTTTGTTGTTGGAGCATCAGAAATGAAGCGGAAGGCGAGCAACTCGGGCGTGCGCAAAATTGCAAATATAAAAATATAAATTCTAGGGCCGACCGAGATATACCTATACGCGCGACGTTCTCGCGCGCGTTTTTATCTGCCGAAGCCGCTGATAAATATCAAAAAAAAAACAAAAGAAATTAAAAGCACCCGGCGAATTTAAAGACGACGCGATTCAAACGCGTAATTGCTGCTCGCAGCGGCGAAACGACAAACAGTACATCCCCCGTGCATCCGAAATAATTAATGTTCAATTCATCGGTGATGTCGAAACGGACGGAAAATGTATTTGCGGCGGATTATTCGTGATTTATTTATTATTAGCTTCCCAATAACATCCAAATGACTGAAATTTCTGTCTATCTGCAGGTATAGTTTGGGCGTAATTTGGATTTCTGCGGAATAAATATATATGTATATTGTAATGTTTGTAATTGTATATGTGTAATTCAACCAATTTATGTCTATACAGATAATACGTGCATTTGCATACAATTGGTAGATACACTAAATTACGATTCGTAAATTAGCACGAGAATTTACAGATCCGCTTAAGCCGTTAATAAACATCTTCATCGTCGTCGCGATATATAATGCCGGTGCACGGCAATAAAAACGCCAAATAACGCACAGATAGCTCGTCGCTTAAAAACGTATTTCCGTATTTATAGCGCGCGCACGATAACGCGTAATAATACGTGAGAGAGAGAGAGAGAGAGAGAGAGAGAGAGAGAGAGAGAGAGAGAGCCCCTTTTTATCAATATCCGATACAACAATATTAAAATACTCGCGCAGAACCGCCGGGGAGGAAAACAGAGTGGAGAGACACCCGCCCGAAATACACACGCCGCCGCCGCCGC